TTCAACCAGCCCAGCCCAGTGCCGAGTCTGGGAATTGGTGCATCGCTACAACGGCTCCTCGGGAACTGGGAGAGAAATGTGGGATCTTTCTGAGGTCTTTCTGTAGTGATCTAGATCCAGATAGATTTTCCTCTCTGTGCAGTCAGTCCTGCATGAGTGCAGTCGGGAGCAGAGCTATTGGCTCTGCTGTGGATACACCTTGGCCCAGCAACGTGCAGATCTGGCCTCTGTTTTGGGCTGCTTTACTCTAAGGCAGGTGGTTCGGTGGCATTTTTATGGCAGGAGGATGCTTTAAAGCCTTTGGCCTTGGAGCTGCAGAGGTGTGAAAACAGCCACCCATGCCGGCTCCAAGGCGAACTGAACCCGATCCAAAGGAGACGGGCACATCTGCGTACACAGGCTGCAGCTCCAAACAGGGCTGTGGTGTTGCCTGCTAACCCTGGAAAGAAAAGCAGTTACGAGAGCATTGGTGTTTTAGGAGCATCGCTTCGTGCGACGCGTGCCTTGTGTTTGGGCTGTACTGTGTCTAATCTGGGGCAAGCTCTGACCGATGCTTTTTCCGTGGTGAGAGTGTTGCTAATACCTGTCTCCTTTCTGGATTATCTAGTGTTTAATCATTCAGTTCAGCTCACGCTGTGGCCTTCGCATCAGTGGGATCACTAAACTGAGTCTTTTTTTTCTGCTACCATGTCTCTGCTTCTCCTGAATCATTTACTCTCACTATGATAAATATGATGGCTGTTGGCTCCCAGGGTCTCAGACTATTGCACAGTCTCATATCGGTCACTTCTGTGCACAGCAGACCCTGTGCAGGGCTATGGGACTGGCTCTAAGATGAGTGTGTTGCTCACAGCAACATTGGGGTTCTTGGTCAAGCTCTGTCCTTGTAGAGCATCAAAGCCTCATGCTCTGCAGGACCAATCGTGTGATTGTGTTGTCGTTGTCTTGGTCGAGCAAGCGATCACTGCTTAGGATATAATTTGCAAAGTAGCCTCAAAGTAACTAGAATATCTCAATGGGCCTGTTTGGAGCTCCATTGTGGTATGGGTGACAGTCCCCTTCCTATCTTCACGGGTGAGCTGTGCCTGGTGAGGGAAGGGTGGGTGTGCAAAGGGACAGGTAGACTTCAGTACTTACCCCTGTTTGGAGAGGATTTTATGCATTGGTAAAAGTCTTCCTGCCAGTTTTGCCAGCTCCCTGGATTACGAAGAACGAGGGATGTTTCCTCCTCTGCCACACAGACAGAAGTACCAGGGACTTTCTTACTATGACAATTTCTTACCACCTTTTGAGTCTATGTAGCTCAGTAAGGGCTAGGGTGGCATGAATTAGGGTGACATTAATCATGTGCTTGTAAATTACTGCTTGTGCCCATCACACTTTGTGGTTGGAGGGGGCTCGTCAGAGTATTTGCAATTGAAGGTTTGAAGGACACGTTTTGTCCCCTGTGGCTTTTCTCTTTTGTAGGACCTACCTCCCTGCATGACATGGTTCTCTTTGAAAGGATTGATGAGATTTCTTTTGCTTTATTTCTCGTGTGTGTGTTTCCCCTGCCTTCTGTGGTGCCATAGATGTTAGCTGAGATTCTGGAGGTGCGTTCAGGTTCTGGGTGGAGGAGGTTCACAGAGGTCTTCTGGGAAGATGGATACATTGAAAGGTAGAGAACATATGGATATCTGAGCCCCATGGACCACTCCTGACTCACTGAAGTTATTTAAGGAAGGAAAAATTCTTTTGAAAGTAGCAATACTAGTGGAGCTTAGGTCCCTGTGAAACAGGATCCTTTGTCCTGTCCACCTTCCCATCCCACTGGTTGGTCAGCCAGCTGCAGATGGGCTCTAAAAGCAGAGTTCTTCCAGCCTGTCTGCAGTAGGAGAGGTTCAGTTGGGTCTTTTTCTGTCGCTAACGAGTGAAAATGCGAATTACCAATTGAAAATCAGTGCCTCAGTTCACAGGTGCTGGCTCTGATACACCAGAGAAGCACTAGCATTTTCTGAGATGGATGCTTAGGTTGGGCACCCATGCATTACACTGCCAGCTATTCTCATTTACCCAGCGGATTTGCCTTTGTTTGAATATTCTTGTTTAACATTCTGCTTGGTCCTCGGAAGGCTTTTGCAGGTATTGTGATGATTCAGATTCACTTCATTACTACTAAAAATTAATATTTGCGTTGTAATAACTTGAACTGTACTACAGAGAAGCCCAGTTGTGGTCTACAGGCACAGAAAAAAGTGCAAATCCCTGTTCCTAAAACTTCCAGTGCAATCTGTTCTCTCCCAGAGGCTTCCAGAGTCCCTTTATCTACACCACAAAAGAAGCATAAAATAAAGCAAAACACCAGATACTAGATTTGTTTGGGGAGGATGGCTCTGAAACCACTCAGAAAATGGGAGTAGCTCATTTTTTCAGCTGAGTCTGTTTATTCTGAAAAGAAAGGTCACCTTGGCACTTTTGGACTTTGGAAGCCTGCAGTCCAGATTTGAACGTGGAGAGGGGCACCATCTTATTTAGGTGTCAAAAAGTTGTGAGGTGTAAGTCTTTTAAAAAGGACAAGGGATTTTCTGGGGTTTTTTTTTTGTTTGTTTGTTTGAGAGGCATTAGAAGGGGGACTGACTGACAGACAGCAAGATCTGTGAATCGGGCACCGTTAAGACATCTCGAATTGGGCATCTGGAAATGGAGGCCCCTGAAATCTGTTGTCAACTTTGAAAATCCTATTCCTCCCTCCGCCTCCTGCCAGCTTTGAAAGTTCGAACCGTGTTCTTTTTATCACATTTGTCATTCCTTAGTAATGAAGCTCTGGCATTCAAAATTTGTCTGACAACTTTGTGGGTATAAGCCAAAATGAAGTTCAACTTGCACCTTTCTCGGATGCACCCAGTGCTGTTCGCAGCGAGAGGCAGAAGTCTGAACCAGAGGGACTCCGCTCTCATTCATTACAGCAATTACTATCTTCTCACTGATGCCAAAATTAAGCTTGTTTTCTTTATCCTAACGTAGGTGGACAGGAACTGATGAGGTGTACGCAACAGGAATGTTGAGAGAGAAAGTACCATGTATAAACCATTTCTTCTCAGGCTATTCCTTCATCTTAAATAATGTAAAGGTCATAAATCTCCTGGAAATCATGCAAAATCAGTGCTGCAAAAGACTTAGAACAGTTCCAGGCAAGTTCAAGTATTATTTTATAGAGGCTCAAGTCCAGCACTTTAAGGTTTGCTAATTTTAAATACATTTAAATGCACTTTCAAAGTAATTTAGATCTGTAAACTGAATGTATAGGTCAGGTGATGTTGGGAGAACTGGCTTTTGGGGAAAAGGAGCACAACTCAGAAATGAGGTCTGATGTAAGGTCTGCTGGGCATGGCTTCTGTCTTTGTCCATGGCCAACTGTATGTGTTGCATAAGATATTTCGGATATAAATTGAGTATGGGCCAGAGTCCAAGTTTGCCATGCACGCATGCTGGATGGAAGCCCAACCACGAGCACGTTGTGCCAGGTTTTGTGGCAATGTTGTCTAACCGTCCTTGGGCAAACACAACGCTCCCTCTTTGCACTTCTTTTAATTCAGTGCTTGGCAGCGGATGGCTTGAGGATGCGTTTTGAGAAAGCTCAGGTTTGGTCTCCTTGTCTGGAGGTGACAGTGGCAATATTTGTGCCCACAACGCTGTTTGCATTTCCAGCCTGTAGTCCTCCTGCTTTAACCACTGAGATTGCCCCTTCTCAGAGGTCCAAAACCTCAGGATCTGCGTTGTCAGGGCAGTGCGGCGGCTGACACCCATCTCTGGGAAGGACTGAGAAGTCACCAAGCTTTCAAAACATTTAGAAATCCCACCCTGATGTGTGTGGAAGCACAGAGTGTTTCAGACTGGATTGCTCTTGGTTGACTGACATGGTGTTGCCTTAAAGTGTGGAGCAAAAGACTCCGCTTCCTTTGAGCAAACTGTGAGGGCTGCTATCATTTAATTATTCTGGACTTACGCTGGTTAATTACAGACCTTCCTGGGCTCCCCTGTGGGGTAATGGTCCTTAAGCCACGTATCCAGTTTTTTGTTCAGAGGAAACGTTCTAATTTTCAAATGCTTGCAATTTTTCCCTTCTATGGGTGTTGCTATGTTAGCAGCATCACTGTTGGTTATCTCACACATAAGTAAGAATTTTTGGGAGAGAAAAATGTTTCTGATGTAATGTAATTCCCATTTGCAGGCAGGTGGAATTAAAGTCTGGTTTCTGGGTGTCCAATTGCAAATGCACAATGCATTTGAAGAGGCATCTGTATCTCTGAAGCTGAGATTTGCTGAATTGCCTTTTTGTGCCCAACTTTGACTGATTTCAACAGGGATTGAACCAGAATTTGAATCCCAGAGGCAACATTTATATATTTCAGTTCAAATCTTACACAACTCTGTGGATACAGATCCTAAAGTAACATAGGCTTACAGTGTTTAGTTCAGAAATTATCAGATTTTTTTTCTAAAATTAAATAGAAGTTCCTGATAGATTCTTTAAGTCTTTCTTCTTGCAAGTGTGTTGACTTGGCAGCTGACGTGCAATGTTCTCAGGGTTGATTTTTCTGCTTTGCAAGGGGAAAGCACCTGGAGTTTCTGTTGTCCTGTCGAGGAACTGAAAGTTTGCACAGTTTTTTTTCTCCGAGGTCATTAGCGAACACACAAAGAGACTTTATAAATCATATCTCAGCCTACGTGGTGAGCGGGAAACGAGCAGTGGCCAGTTTTGAATGGGAGCGATGGAGATGATAAGCCACGCTGTTCTAAGTCATTATCGGTGACTACAGTGGAGCAACACCTTCCCTCGTGCTGGGATGTCACCATGTGCATGGGTTCCCCAAGGAACTGGGCAAGAAACCAGCTTTTCTCCTGGTCTCGATTGCAGACTGTAGAGCTGGTAAACCCTGAGATGTCTCTTAAAATACATGTGGCAAGTCCATTGCAGTCTGCTGTGCTAAGCATTTCTTTTCTTTCCTCACCCTCCCCAGCAATCAAAGAGAAATACATGGACTGGACAGAGTTTCTCATACACGATTTGACCGGCGCCCGGACTGCACCTGCAAATTTACTGGAAGGCGTATGTATTAGATTGCAGTTTCTATCTGATCCGGTGTCGCGGTGTGCGTGCTGCAGCGGTGTTTGCGCTCCCGATGTGTAGGGTTGTGTGCTTGCAGCGTCTGTGTGCCGGCAACGGAGTCTGATCCAGCGCTGGCCAAAAGTCGGTGGCAACGTTGCCTTGACTCCGCTCTGACCCAGCGATGGGTAGTTGCTTTTGCCTTTAAGCTGGAGGGTGGTGCTTGGAAAGTTGGATACTCAAAAAAAAAAAAAATAAGATAAAGAAAAGGCTGGATGGTGAGGGAGAGCATGGAGGGAGTCTGTAGGAAGGAGGACACAGCCCTTCAGTGCCCCATTAGATTCAGCAAACTGGTGACCTGAGCTTTCAAGCCAGGATGCAGGTTGGAGAGGGGGTTTAGCAGGTTGATGGGAAGCACTACCTGTTTATGTGTATATGGAAATAACCCGCCCCGGGCCATTCCCTCCACCTAAACACGGCAGTCAGATTTAGTAGGGAAGTTGGGTGGGGTGGCCTCGGTCATCCGTAGTTGGGAGAGAAGAAGGGGCTGGTTTTTTAGATGCACCCGTATGGCCAAGAGCCCAGTCTGCGCAGCATATTCACAGGGTGACTTGCACCTGGGGCAGCCTCAGCATGCCTTGAGATCTTGGACAAAAATCCCGCAGATTCACCTTGAAACCATGGGAGCAGGGCACCTTCTTCATCGGGACTTGGGTGGGCATTTGGAGAGGAAACAGCCCATCCTGCAGGAGATAATGCTCTCTGCCCCTCTGTATTTAGGCTGAGAGTGGGGGCGTAAAGGCGGTTTACCTTTGTGTTAGCACTCGTGTTGGCTTTTTGGAAGCAAGTGTGCATCCAGGCACCGTTTTTGATCGTTTTGTCCCTGGTCACTCCCACCTGCCACAGCCGCATCCTTTATTCCACGTGCCTGTGTTGTAGGAGCTGCCTGGCAGAGAGAATTAATAGCGTACCATCAGGGATTATTTTTTTTTTTTTCCCCCCCCAATCTGTTAGCCACACAGCCCTCGCACACCCAAAATAATGCACGTCCTCAGGTCTGCTGCGTCCCCGTCCCTGGACCGCTCCCAGGTGGCACATGCCAAAACCCGGTGGTGTCCAACACCCATCTCTGGTGTACGCCAACGCCATCGCGAACCTCTCCGTTCCCTGTCCGCAGGCAGAGAAAAGAGGCAGAAACGCAGAGAGAGCAGGCAGTGCATTGGCTGGAAACAGTTTCTGACCCTTTTCTGGTGTTTTATGCAGTATATGTGCTTAGTGCTGTCTGTGTCGTGCAATGTATGTAACCCCCTGTCGACAGATTTGCTGTTCGTGAGTGCTGCAGATTGTTGTTGTACTGTTAAATCGATATGTAGTGATACTTTTTTTTTTTTAACATGCTAGCTATGCATATAAAGAGTTCTTGTATTATGGTAAATGTTAATATTTCATGCAAGCCAATTATTAATCTTAGCCATTCAGTTCTCAGGAGTAGGTGACAACCCATTGGCTTAAAATTTAGCACACAAATCAGAGAAGCAATATTCGCTTTTATACAGCCAGGGATTTATTATAATAAGTTAAATCATTACACCATCGTTTCATATTAAGGAACGTTTTGTTGCAATGAAGCAGTTGTATGAGAGGAAAAAACCCATTAAAGTAGATTTCTACTATATTATTAAATTCTGACACTGCATTTTGCTATGAAATAATGTTTGAAGAGATTATACAGGTGCTTGTAGCTTACACTGTAGAGGAGTGACTTATAATGGCAGATATATTGTTCTGAGAAATATCTATTAATCATAGAGCTGGTTAAAACTGTGCATGTGATAAGATCTTAGTTAATTTTAATTACATTTTTTACCAAATTCTCATTCTGCTGCCTGCATTTTTGGATTGAGAGAGACGTAGTGAAAATTGGTTGCATTTCAAAATTTTGAATATTTTCAAAATTCAATAGAAAAGGGAACTTTTTTTAAAAATAAGGCTTTCTTCTCTCTTTTTTCTAGCTACCCCTACAAAGAACCATCCTGGGCTAACTCTGATTTACAGAATTAATATTTTAAAAATACTGTGAAAAGTTTATGTTGTTTAATTAAGTAGCAGTGGGACAAACACACAGGAAAACAGAAAGGTCCTTGTTTTTAATATATTATGCCTGTGCTTAGCATCTCCTTCGGGGACCAATGCTCCCAACTCTTGGGGTGTTTTTTAGTGCTGCTCTTAAAGCCCTGGAATTGAGAAATTGCATAAGAATTGGAACTTGCATTTAATAAAAAAGAAGAAATCTAACTGTTATGTTAGTGGAGAAAAGCTCGACAACAAAGAGGTGCTCACAATCACGAAACAAAAACACTGAGCCCCAAAGGTGTCATTCTGCAAAACATCTCATGGTTTTTTAATGCCTGCGGATGGCAGCTTTGGAGGTGTAAAGTTAAGCACATGTTTAATGGTTGCAAAACTGGGATCACAGAAAATACTATCCGTAAGCAAATAACCTCAGTCACTGGGATTTTTTGGGCATGGTGGCTTGACCTGACAAATCCTGTGTGCCTTGGGCTTTGATCCCAAGACTGCTTAAGCTGGTGGGAACCTGCCGTTGGCTTTGGGCTTTGGAGTAACCACCATCGACTCTCGCATCCATGGCTGTGGGGAATAATTTGCTCTACATGACAGTAGGAATGAGATGAAGCCTTTGGTGGGAAAGATCAGTGCACAGAGGGCAATTTCAGGGTCATGCCCAAAGTAGTCGCCTTTTAGGCAAATGCCAGTGTCCAGTCCTGTGATTGGTTCTTACCAGCTGCAGTCAATGAGAATTTGGTTTGAAATCCTCCATTATAACTGGGCTTTGAGTTGTTCAGGAGCATCCTAAGTGGATGTGACTTATGAGCTGTTCCACCTTTTATTATTCTTTTTTGTTGTTGTTGATGATGTCGGTTGAGAAATTAGCACAACTGTTGTTTTCTGTTTTACTTCTGAATTTGCACTTGGAAGACATTGGGTAAAATAGAAGAAGAACAGACTGTTTGCTGATCGCTTGGATGATGGTGTGAAAAACAAAAATAATCTTCTGCTGTCATCTGTTGCCTTGAGAAGTCTTCAAATAAAGTTTAAAATAAGGAGTTTTGCTTCTATTCAAACAGCCTCTGCGAGGAAAAAACCCTGTAGACCTCATTACAGTTGATTCCTTAATAGAGCTGCAGGATTCCCAGAATCCCTTTCAGTACTGGATAGTTAGTGTGGTTGAAAATGTTGGAGGAAGATTACGCCTTCGCTATGTGGGATTGGAGGAGACTGAATCCTATGACCAGTGGTTGTTTTACTTGGATTGCAGACTTCGACCAGTCGGTTGGTGTCAAGAGAATAAATACAGAATGGACCCACCTGCAGGTAAAGAGCCTCCGAAAAATACTGTCTCCCTTTGTGGCATTTACTGATGTTTTGAGATACTCGTGCAACCCATTTCTTTTCCAGCATTCACATTGCTTTGACAGGAGTTTCTAGATGTAACACAGATGGTATGTGAGAGCCATCTAATTTGGGTTCAGAGTGGGTCAGGTAAACTGTATTAAATTTATTTAATAAATTCAGTTTAGCTTCACTGCTGGAAGGAAGCAGTGTCTAATAAAAGCAGTTCCGTGCAGTTTTCCACCAAGAAGCAGAGCTGATGGGAATAGTCCATGGATGTGCCTGCTTGCCCAGCCCTTTTCATTGGCGTTTCAGTGGCCAGCTCTCCCTGGCCATACTGTGTGCATCCTGGTGGAGGCCTCAATGGGAACCAGTCTTCTGCTGTTCAAATCAAGTCCTAGGTGATACCTCTCAGCATATACTAAGCTCCATTTGCTTTCCCCTCAACCAAGGACCCCTTGCCCGTTTGTCTTTCCATGGCCACACACATTTCTCTTGGGTAGCAGTCGACCTCCACGAAATTTCCCAGGGCTGGAGGAAGTGTTTTGGGACCCTTATGGTCCCTCTAACAGGTCTTTCATATTCAGCTGTAACATTGCTGTACATCTGCGAAGGGAGACCGGCCTTGGGTGTAACCAGTCCGAAAGTGCAGTGAGAGTGCTGGGTTTGTCTGCTTGTCCGTGTCAGCCTGCCCATCGAGGGGTTATGGGGTGTCTATTGCTAGAAGCTAAGAAAATACTCCTTTGAGTAAGGGTAGAGGGGGTCTTTCAGGTTTAAAAGACCACAGATTTTGTCCTGCATTTTCTCCAAGGGAGTGAAGTCTTTGCGAGTATGTCAGACCAGATTGAACATCAGGAGATTGCAACTTGGAGAAGCAGCTCGCTAGAGTTGAGTTTAGTGTTCAAACCAGCTTGGATAGAGAGAGGTAGGGATTGCAGTTAAGCCAGTCTGGGGTCAGAAACTGGAAGTCACAAATCCAGGGGTAGGAGAAGTTCAAGGGGCAGGAGCTAGGCAGAGGAGTCAGGCACAAGCAGGCTGGGCCAGGAGGCTGGGCAAGAGCAGAGCATAGGGGTCAGCTGGAATCAGGTTCCAGACAGTGGGATGGGGTTTGGCAAAAGGAGCAGGATCAAAATGGCAGGGAAGGAATGATGGCAAGACTGAGTGTAGGGGAACTCTAAGCATCACTAAGGTTTAGCAAGCAGGACATGGGCTAGGGACCGCAGCACGCAGTAGGGGCTCAGGGCTGCTTGAAGCCTGCTGGAGAAACACTTGCACAGGCATTCACTGGCAGGTTCTGGGGCTGGCTTTGGAGATATGCTTCCATCTAGGCTCTACCCCATTACAGTGGGGGATGACTGGGAGGGTGAATTTTCTCCACCACCCATAATATCGGTCAAGACTTTGTGGAAGTTTCTGGGCAGTTAGGTTTCTCTCTACTGAGGGCGTTTAGCTCTGCGTTTGTCTGAAGTTGGCTGAGTTGGTTGAGTCAAGTTGGTTGACTTGAAGTTAGGGGTCTAGTTAAACACAACAGCTTAGACTGTGTTGCATGCATGGTCTTCTTTGGAGCAGAAAGTGTGCAGCATCTGTATTTTTCGTAAAGTTGTGGCTTATGCTTGGGACCACAAAGCTGTTTGCCAAGTCCTGTGGATCATGGCTCCCATTTGCTAGCTGTTTGCACCTCTCTTGAGAGATGAGGTGCTTTCTTGGTTAATGCACAGGTTTTGACCCAGCAGACCTATTCCACCTTTTCCTGTGTAGGTGAAAAACTTGTCCAGGTCCGTACCTTGTTTTCCTTGTGCTGTGGGTGAAGTTTTGCAATGAGTGTCAGATGATAGCAGAAAGGTAGCCCTCCTTTGGGTAGGTATTTCTAATGTGGCTTCTGTCCATTGCACCTGATTCAGAGAGGTTACCCTGATACATGCAGTTGTCGTGTTCACAAGTCTGTCTGGGTCTCGGGTCTGACTTGGGGTCTCAAATGATTTTTGGAAGCGTGTGTTTTTCTTCACTGATAGGTAGGAATCAATGTTGCCCATCACTTCTAAATTAGATGCGAACGCTGGAGAGCATGACTATCACTCGCTCTCTTCTTTTACAGAGTATTTGTGTTACAGAGAAAAATTTCTTCATTGACCATCTTTGCACCCTCTTGGCCTGTATAAGTTTGGTGAATCAATACAGAAATGGCCCAAATGAGATTTGTGCTTCCTCTTTGTTTATTCCATTCTCTTTCTACTCTTTCATCCTTTTATCCACCTGTGCTTCCTTCTCTATGGATTCCCACCCCCTCCCCCCAGCTTTCTTTTTCTTTTCATTTTTTCAGTTGTCTTGTTTCTAAACTTGTTATTGGACTCTTCTTTTTGCTGAAGTTGTTTATGTTTCTTCTCCCTTCTCCTTGATTTTAACTGCTTTTAAAATTTCTTTCTCTTGTTCTCATCTGTCTTCATCTGAGATCTGTTTCCTCTCCTTGGCATTTCTCTGGTCATTCACTTTTTAGTGAATGTTGTTATTAATTCGATGCCCGGATCTCCTTCCTGACTCCCATTGACTTAAATAGGTGGTCATTACTTTTCACCTCCTAAAGTTGGGTCTCATAGGAGTTTGCTGAGAAAATACCCTTTGGGTCTGAACACTTCCATTTTCTGACAAGTCCTCTCGTGAACACTGCCCCTGATGATCTTTCTTTGATCTCCTCTTCTGGTCTACCCAGTTATCAGGCTCTGCATTCCAGGGAATAGCCAGTCAGAAATGGGAATCTGATGAGTTTCTGGAGGCAGGAATGCTGGCTGTTCCACTTCTGACATAGTGGACTATATTGGCCATTTGATGTCCACCTAACATCAGCATGTTCATAAAGCACAATGGATGAACAAAGCGTATAAGACATTAACCCAGAGGAAGAAGAAGGAAAAAGCCAAGTGGCTGGTCTTAGGGGATCTCTTTCAAATTAAAGAGTCTGCAGAAGAAAACTTGGAGCTAGCAGGTAGGCAAGCAGTAGTGAGTTGTCAGGATGAGATGCTGGCAGTAGAGGTCTCTAAAGAAACTCAGGGATGAAGCTACTAAACCATAAACTGTCAAAGAATGCAATTTCCTGAGGACCTCAGGCCAGGAGAGTGTACCAGGGACACATCCTTGCCTGCTTACATCCTTCCAAGTGACTTCTGTAGTAAATAGGATATGGACTAGAAAGACCTTTGTTATATGAAAGACCTAGTGTGGACCTTCTTAGGAAAGAGCGGGAGTCTGTGGGCAGTATGTTGGTTTTTTACACATCAGGGATTAGATTCACCTGTCGTAGTGTAGGCATCAAAAAGACAGTTCAGTATGAGCTATTGCTTTCTCTTTATGGTCAGTGGAGAAAAGGGGATGCTTAAGACGTGTAACATAGGTCAGATGAAATGACAGCTTCATAAGCCTATTTTTTCCACTCAGGGGGGGTTGAAAGCAATGAACAGACCTGGTTGTCTAACTTTTGAACATCTGAAGCCAGTTAAGGTGACTCCTTAATCGATAACAGGAACAGCCTTAGACCGTATATCAAAGCTGTTATGAATCTCCTCCGAAGAGATGCGGAGGACACGCAGCTCCTCCCCAAATCAGGCTGCGTGTTCAGTTGCTATCAAATGTGGATGTTCAGTTATACATCAGTTCTGCAGGTTGTGACAGTGCTTTGCCTACCCTTGACTTGGATGCTGCATATGAACCTTCAGTTTTATTTCCCTTTGTGTCTGGGCTGTGATTTTTTCGTGTTGATCCACCTCTGGGACCTGCCAGGTTGGGCTTCACCTTGCACAGCAGTTTGAGGTCAGTCTTTCAAGAAGCAGAGCATCTCATATAAAGGAGATCCCATGGATCCAAATGCCTACAGTATTTTGGATGGAGAGGTCTCTTCTCTGAAGCCATCCACATCCTAGCACCCACTTCACGTACAAGAGTGTGCAAGAGGGTCTTTAGGAAATAGCATCCTGCCTGTCTTCTCCAAATGGCAACTTCCAGGGACTTGTGAGCCCTTTTAACTGAGGCAAAGGGGTCATAGCTTATTTTTTTCCCTCAGATGTATATCTGAATCCAAAAGAAACCTCCTTGCTAGTGCAAATTGGCACAGGCTGCTTGACACAGAGCCATTGATGGTCTTGCCTCGACTGCTTATGGAGGAAGAGATCGTCTCGTTTTATGTTACTTTCTGTTTAAAGACAAATTGGCAGTCATTTTAATTGCTCACTCCTTGTTAACCTAAATACAAATTGACACAGTACACTTTGTTCAATTACCTGCAACCCTATCACTTAAACAAAATGCTTTATGCTCTTTTAACCGTGCGATTTAGTGTCCATATACTTGACAGCATAAGCGAGCTGCCACTAATTAATGCGCATGATATTGCTTGCTGGTTATTGAAACCATTGGAGTTGTCTTTATCTCTCGAATTTTGTTGACACTGCCCAAAGAAGTTGCTGCTTGTTTTCACTGATTTTGGGCAAAATTGCCTAAAATGCCACTTTCTTCTTCTTTCCTATGCTTCGCTGCCGTCATAGTAGAAAGCGAGGGTCTGTTTTCAGCTTGCTCTGTCCAGGGAGCGTTCAGCAGCATTTTCCAAAGCTGAGACTTCTTGTTAGTTGAAACAACAGGCTGGCTGCAGCTTGGGGCAAAATCATATTGTATTGAGTATTTCTCTGTTTGGCATCATTTAAACCAAAAAGGAAGAAACAAGTTGAGTCGTTTCCCTCCCTGCGCTTCAAGCCGATCAGAGCTTCTGCAAGTAAGGGAGAGCTGGAGCAACAAGGCTATAAAATAATGAACAATTAGGTAAAGAGTGCACTTATTAACACTTGTGGCCACTGCACATGCTGTAAACAAAGACTTGAAATGTATATTCCCATTAATAAGCAGACAGTTGAGGAATTAAAAATATCACCCTGAAAGGTTAACATTTCCCTTTAAGTGTGTTTAAATTCATATGCATATCCTTGATGTCTGTTCTGAAGTAGCGAGGTTTGATATAGTGGAAGTATAAATACATCCACTTCCAGTGAGTGATTCTGCAAATCCTATTTTGATAAGGTCTTAAATCTGTTGAGATGAGAGCATAAAATTCTCTTGTACTGTCAGTGCTAGGTGAAAACAGTGCTTGCCAGTTCCTTTTTTATACATATTTTTTATTTCCTCCTTCGGAATTGTAAGATACAGCAGTAAATCTTTGCTAGCTAGTAAATATATATCGTTATTAGATGTACAGAATTTAAATGCAAATTGGGCCAAATTGAACTGTGATGTAAGCGCGTGAAGCCAAACCGACAAAAGCTTCACACTGTTCACTTCATATCAAGGTTCAAGTTTATTATTGAGTAAATGTTCATTTCCATTTTAATAATTGTTGCAATCCATCTACCTATCTTGTCTCTTTAAGACCTTGATATGAATGTTCTGCAATAGCTTGTTATGTGCAGGATAACAATATGTTTTCTAGGGCAGAAGTAAATCCAATATAATGTTCTTCATCATAGTATTGTTTCCTACATTGTTTCCTGTGATGATTCATAGGCGTTTCACTGCACTGAACCATAAAGGGCTTGTTAATAGAATGATTTAATAATATTAAACCTATTTAAAGAAACTCACTGAAAGCAATGTGAATCTGCACAAAGATTTTGCCTACAAGTATAATTATGAAAATTTGTAAGTGTAAATCTTTGAATTGGTGTGATACTCTGGTTTGAGTGTGGTACCAAAAAACAGGTCTGGATAGAGATCTAGCTGAAATGTTCCTTCCCACACTTACCCCCAACCACCGCAAAAAACCCCCAGTGCTACAATAAAAAAACCCCACAAAACAAACTTTCCAATGAACAGAAGCCTTGGTAAAGATATTTCTGGTTTTGTTCAAATATAACTAATATCGGCTGAAGACCTGAGGCTCCTCAAACTGGAAACATCAGGTATTTTGAGAATTGAAAATCAAAGGGAGAGTTTTTGTTATTTTCAAGTAATGAGATAGTACAATTCTCATTTCTTCAGCAGAAAATGAAGGACATGCATTTTTCTGGGTTTTACTCCAGGATATAAAACACAATCTTCCTGAAATGTGCCCCTGCTAGTTGCTTTTGTGTTGAATTTATCCACGCTGTACAGCTTGGAATATACACACTATTCATTTCACTTGTACTATCCATTTTTATGACATAGGAACTTAAGTCTTTCAAAAATGTTTGATCCCCAAACAGTCACCTCTTGGTTTTGTTGTGTTTTTTTTGTTGTTGTTGTTGTCATTGCTTTAGATATCTATTCTCTGAAGAGTATATCTGAGTGGAAATGCGCTCTGGAAAAATCCCTTAATGATGCAGCAAATTTTCCTCTTCCAATGGAAGTGTTCAAGGTAAAAGATACACATTTTTCCTTCACTTACAGAACCTGCAATGAATAAATATCATGCAGTGTTTAGCAGTTTATGTTAAACTTTTGCAGGAAAGGCTGTTGCTCTAATACATCACCATGAAAGGTCGCAAGTGAGATGTTTGTATAAAATGCAGTTTTATGTGTGGACTTTCCATTCTGAGAGCGGACTTCTTGCAGTCAGTATTTTTCGAGGGGCTGGGGGTGATCGGCACTGATTTCTCCAACGTTATTTTTAACCTGTCTTATTCTGTTAGACCTGTGCAAAGGCGGTGTATACAACCGTGAAATTGTAAGGCTACGAGTATGAAAGTTGACATGAGCTGGACAGATTTCAGTGAGCCTTGCACCAAAATTTTCATCTGATCACAAGCCACAAGGCAGAGAAACCTTCTTCAGGGACCTGTAGTGGAAGTGGGAGATAATTTTGCTCCCACATCTTTTTTTTTTTTTTTTTTTTTTTTTTTTTTCTCCCTCTGGTTTTTAATAGTTAGAGATGTGCTTCAGCCCTGAGGCACCGGCTTTAATTTCCCATCCAGATCTGCACTGCTATTAATCATGACGGCTCCAGATAATCCTGATTTCTAGCTGTGCCCGTCTGGTTTCAAACAGTTACATCCCTGCTGCGGTGTGATGGGCAGCGCGGGTGCAAGAGGATGCTCGAGGAGGTATATTGAAGCACAGCGGTGCCCTGCTGTCTCCAGTGTCACCTCCTGCTTGGGGACCTGGTGGACCACGGTGTCCTCCCCACCACCCTTCCTGGCTCGTCCAACCATCCTGGGGACCCTCTGGGTTCCTTCCCTGCCCTTAAGCAACATTGCACTGGGACACCCCAAAACACCCAAGCAGTTGGTGCGGTTCACATGTAGACGTGGCAGTTAGGGACGTGGTTTAGCGGTGGACTTGGCAGCGTTAGGTTTACGGTTGGACTCGATGGTCTTAAAGATCTTTTCCAACCGAAATGATTCTATGGTAACTGGAAGAAGGCAGTCATCGTGTCCCATCCTGGGTGGCGTGCCACGAAACCCCGGTGCCACCTTCACCCTTTCTGCAGGGATGTGCTGGCTGGCGGCTTCCCACGAGGAATCCAGGCTCCTCGCCCAGCTGAGATGCACTTAAATTAGCAACATCAATTTGGGACCGCTTTGCTAATGGCCCAGGCAGCGGCTCATTTGCTTGCAATGTGAAAGCTCGGCTAGGCTGGGAGAAGTGGGAAGATTTGCGCGTTGGCTTTCGGCACGAGCGTGGGTTTGAGAAGCCCCATGTTGTGATGGGAGTGGCGCACGGAGGGTTTTGATTCTCTGCCATTTATTTCGTACAACGCTTCAACCCGCCAACTCTATTAAAGTTTGCATTTGCAGTTTCGAGATCAAAAATGCATTGTGTGGGGCAGGGATTAAATCACAATAGGGAATGCCTAATGTGTAAATTTTATTCCTGTCTATATGAAAGAGTGAAGAATGTTTCTGATGAGGGTCATAAAACATCCTTTTTTGAAAAAAGTTTATAACTAACAGCTGTTTTTCTGCCTCTTCTCAGCATGCCAGACTTATACCCACTTATTTTAATTATTGCACGAGGGTCATAAATTTAAATTCAGCAAATCCCAGTTGCTGTGCCATGTGGTTGGAGCTTGCAAAGATATTCCTCTTAGAAGACCATGCAAGACATTGGAATGCTTGAATGGCTCAAGAGGAGAGTTACTTTGGGGCCAAATGGGACAAAAAGGCAAGATTAGGTCAATAGGGCTTCTTTATTTATAATGTGAAAGCTGAGCACAAAGTGAGCTGAATTCAGTGTTTGGTGTTATCTAAGCCCCTGGTTCTGGGAAGACAGGAGGCTGAGTGAATTATTTGTGCATGGGCATCACTTTATTCTGCCTGTTCAGGGTGAATCAACCCCATCTTGTGCCTCTTAATTAAGGAGAAAAATATGAGAGCTTGTCTGTGCCTACGAGCATGTCTTCCTGTAGTAATGACTTAAATATGAGTTAAGGAAAGGCTTTAGGAGACTATATGAGAGTACACTTGTCTGATCTTACAAGATAAACCAATATTTATGTGTGGGACCTTCAAGGATAATCCCAGAACCCAGCAAAAAGTGTAGAATCCAAAGGAGTTTGTCTTTTTTTTTTTTTTTTTTTTGTTTTAATTTTTTTTTGCAAACCCAGCGCAGAAGTAATGTCTCTAGATGGTGCCTGGGGCTCCGTGCTACTGTAACTGTCATGTGTTAGATGAGATATAAAACACAGGGTTTGACAGCTGGCAACTGTTAAAGATCTTCTGGAAAGCTGGAAATGTTTACTTTGGCGGACATGGTAAACTGCACACCAAGCAATTATATTCCGCATTTTCCCCATTTCCCTACAGAAATCCATCACTGAGGAGAGTGTGTGTGCTCGCTGTACAGACGTGAGCGGTCCCTACGGTGAGCACGTGCACATTTGGCTGGATTACCGCTTAAATTACTGTTGTCCTTTGAGCTGTGGATGACCGTGGGCAGTGTCACTGGTTTGCCATCAAACTGGTCCCAGGTGGTGGTGCTGGGAAAGCAGATTTGCATTTGTAGCGCGAGAAGTGGCTCCTCTTATGGGTCTATCAGCCCGTTGTTGGTGTTGGTGGTGATGCTCTTTGGTTTTGGTGTAATAGGGTTAGGTTCTGCCTGAGACCTCATAAGCCGTGGATTTGAGCCTGAATTATCAACTCTCAGAAGTGTGGCAGAGCTGAACTTGCCTGTGGGAGTCTTTGGCAGCAGTTCGAAAAATCCTTTGCAAAAGCGCAGCCCTGATCCCCTCTTGGCATCCAAGGAGAGGGCACCATCCATCAGACCACATGAGCTGGTGGGAAAAATCAGGGAGAAGGCTGCAAACAGGATCTTCTTTTTTTCTGGTACTATTTTACAGTTGGCCATATGTTGAAAGTGTTTGTAAAACGCTTTAGGATCCTTTGAGAAGGAAAGTGATGTTCAACTGCCAGAAAATGCTGCTATTATATAGCTACTAAACATAGTGTTTTGCAAACTGCACATCCTGGAATAAGTTTTTTCTTCACAAAAGCTTTTTGCAACACACCCGCTATTTTGTCGTTCTGTTCTTTTCAGAAAACATGTTGATCCTTAAAGAAAACTACATGCAGACAGGATTTTCAAGGGTGTTTGAATGGTTTAGGAGCACAAATCCTTCCGTAAGACCACAACCCAAGGAGCTGTGTCCTTTGCTGTTTCTGCTCTGATTTCAGGGTGCTATAGTGATTCCTCATGCTTGGCTGGGTACCGGTCATAAATGATGGCTTGGGCTTCAGAGGACACTTGAGAAGATGGCCAGAGCTTTGGGTATGAATAAGGGTGGTCATACTGTTACCACGGCCTGATTTCAAGTTAAGTGTGACAATTTCAGCTGTTCCCTTCACCAGCAGCATTGGTGGTGCTCTCTAAGAGAGAGCCTTGCATCAGGAAACCAGACTCCAAACACAGCACCTTCTAGCCCTAATGCTTATGAATCAATGCATTTTGTAGAGTTAAAGCCCTGCTTACCCTTAGCTTGGGTAAGATGAGTGCTGGACACAGATCATGAGATTTAGTTTCCTAGAGAGAGGCAGATAGCATCCTGGGGATCTTCTCTGACATCCCATTATGCTTCCCCTGGTCTTCTGTGCCCTGTCTGTGGGTCCCGCGCAGATGTTGTGGATCCTCAGGTGTCTTTCAGCTCACAGATGCCTCTGGGCAACTAAATCCTACCCAGGATTTGGGGTACTCGTCATCTTTCCATAGATGTTGCATATGGGCATCCTATTCCCAATTTCCTCCGATTGCTGTAAAGTGGGTCCTGATGACTGGCCTGGATGGAGCTGTCACCAGTCACATCCCTAACCCAAACTCTGTTAAACTACTTGAAAAGCACAGACACTTAAGAGGGAGAGGTGTTATCTAAGACAGGCGGCAGTTCCTGATGTATAGCCTTTGGTCCCATTCCTCTTGTCTCCACCCTCTGGTCCTCCTTTCCTAAAGTTGGTGGTTTTTTCCAACTTGAAACTGTTCTCTCTCTGGCAAAAAAAGCTCTACACTATGCCCAGCCCAGTGTGCCCCTGTTTCTAACTGGAGCTTTTTGGTATTTCCTGTAATCAGTAATAGTATTAATTAACAGTAAGACTAATGACATGGAAGGAATCAGTTGGGACAAATCTCTGCTAAGGAGAGTGATGGCAAGAGCAGCCCCCAAGAGCTGCCATCATCCAGGCAAGAGCTGCTCCCTGAAATTCAGGATGGAGTGGTGGTTCTAGTTCTACACTGAAAAGTATGAAGATAAATATTAAACAGGACTCTTTCTCCCCCTCTAAAATTTAATTTTTCCATCAGATGAATTGTGCGTTTTAATTACAAGAGTAAGATGGACTATTTCTCCAAGACACTGATTTTTTTCAAAAAGGAGGACAACATCTCTCAAAAGTTAATAAACCCTTTGGGTGTTTTAGGGTGTCTTCTTCCATTATTTGGTATGCTGGAGGAGTTTAAGTGTAAAATAGAGACACTGAAGGGTTCCTTTCTGCTCAGAGGCAATCCTGACCTGGCTATACGAATAGACTGGGAAGTCCAACAGGGTTTTTCTGTCTTCAGCTCCCCTAATAGATGGGCACGTGCTGAAGCAGTAGCTTACAACGAACACGCTTTTGGTTTCACTTGGAAGCCAAGTCCCAACATACGCAATCCCCAGCTCCTTCGTGCGCTGATGGCTTGGCTGGCCCTCGCCGCGCACGCTGTGCTTTAATAACCCGCGAGTCGCCATGTTGTTTGCAGGCTGCCAGATTATTTATACTCCCATCTGTTCTTCCCCATCCGTAGCACTCGCCAGCCCTCCTCCCTGACTGCTATTTGCCTGGCTGGGAGACGTGCACGGCGTCCCGACCCCTCTGTCGTTGGGCTGCCTTTTGACCCACTCCTGTCTCAGCTCATTAAAGCCATTTATCTTTGTAAGACCTAACAACCATC